TCTTGAGTAAACCTCCRTATTCAAAAGCAGTGCGTTATTTTGTTGTTGAAAAGCCCCAATGCCAAGGCCTCCTTTTTCCAAAGGCAGGGGAGTGGTTTCCCATTTGACCAAGTTTCCGTGGGGATGTAATCTGTCTCCCTTCCAAAAGAAATCTCTTACAATCTTGTCTAGGTCTTTTGCAACTCCAATTGGAGCTTTGAGAAGAGATAAATAATATATTGGCATACTATTCAACACCGATTGAGCCAAGGTCAATCTACCCCCTCTAGAGGGAACAAGTTTCTGCCACTTTTCTAGTTTCTGCTTCAGCTTTTCCACCAACGGTCTCCACAATGCAACAGCTTTAAAATTTCCCTCGAGGGGTAAACCAAGGTAAGAGAAGGGAAGGCCTTCCACTCTACATCCTATCTTCAAAGCTTGACAGATGAGTCTATCTTCATTAATATTGATGCCAAATAAAGAGGTTTTATCAAGATTCAACGAAAGGCTTGAAGCTCTTAGAAACCAATTAACTAGTATCCACAATTTGTTCAAAGATCTCCTCTCATCTGGACAAAACAAGATGGTATCATCAGCATATTGAAAATGGGGAATCATCACCTTTTTTATCCTTACCTCAAAACCTTTAATCATCCTTCTCTCGCAGCACAAGTGAACCAACCAGCTAAAAGAATCTCCTACGAGGGTGAAGAGGAAAGGAGAAAGATGGTCTCCTTGTTGTAATCCCCTTGTCACATGGATCTTGCCCCTTGGTCTTCCATTAATAATAATTGAAAAAATTGCCGTGGACAAACATCCTCCAATCCACATTATCCACTGATGGCCAAAGCCTTTCTTCTGCATCACTGCATTGACATAGTCTCATTCCACCTTATCATAAGCTTTTTCATAATCTAGCCTAAGTAGGTATCTTGACTTGTTTGAGGACTCCCAATCACCAACCGCCTCCGCAGCCACTAGAATGGCATCCAGAATCTGCCTACCTTCTAAAAAAAACCTTAAGGATCCGCAATGATAGAGGGAAGGACCTTTTTAAGACGATCAGCCAACACCTTTGCAATAACCTTATAAAGGGAGGAAACAAGGCTAATAGGTCTGAACTCTCCCACTTTGTTCGCTTGTAATTTTTTGGGTATTAAACAAACACAAGTCTCATTAGTGCGAGCATTAATGATACCATTCTTCAAAAACTCTTGGAACACCTTGAAAATATCAGACTTCAAAATGTTCCAAGCTTTTTTATAGAACGCTACTGTCATACCATCATGGCCCAGAGATTTCAAGTTTGCCAAGCTTTTGACGACCTAAAAATTTCTTCCTCACTAAAAGGAGATTCAATCCAATCCTGTCAATGCGAGTTCAAAGGGGACCAATCTATATCTTCAAAAATAAATCTAGTGCCATCTGCTTTAGTGTACAGATCTGTAAAAAGGGCTAAAACTTCTTCAATCTCAATATCCGAGGAGAGGACCGTCCCATTTCTATCAACTAGAGAACGGATAGCTGCTTTGTTCCTTCTGGCTGACACCCATCTCTAGAAAACATGGGAATTCTCATCTCCCTTCTTTAACCACTGGAGTATACATTTTTGAGCCCACATATGTTGTTCTTTCAGCGTTATATCTAACAGCTCCGCTTTTAAGGAAATCCTCAAAGAGGACCGATCAGAATTTCATTTCTCTCTATCTTCTTCTTTGTCTATCTCATCAATCCGATCTAAATTGCTTCTCTTAGAATTCGCTACGTTCCCGAACTATGCCTTCTCATAAAGGCGTAGCCCAACCAGCCATTGGATGGCAATGAATTCCACCAACTTTCAACTTTATCAAGGAACTTAGGGTGATCTCACCACATATTTTCGAAACGAAAGGGAGTAGGACCCCATTTCTGCCACCTAGGTTCATTTGGAGAGGGAAATGATCTGAGGTAGGTCTCGAAAGCCTATACAAGGTAACATCTTTGAAATGCCGAAACCATCTTAGAGATAAAAAAAAACCTATCTATTCTGGTGGCAGTAGGACTACTACTAAAATCAGATCAAGTGAAAGAACCATTCTTAAAATGGACTTCTTCCGCATTACTATCCTCTATAAAAGCATTAAAGTCTCGCATGCTTCTAATGGCCCTTCCTCCTCTCAATTTCTCAATAGGACTTCTAACCATATTGAAATCTCCTCCTACACACCAATCTTCATTGCATAAACCAGCTAGGTCTCTCATCTCTTACCAAAACAAATCTCTAGATGTGGTAGATGAACGACCATAAACCCTCGAGATCCACCCTTGAAAACCATCTACGAATCTAATCAAGACTGAGATAGAAAAGCTACCCAGAACAGAGTCTTCCACATTAACAGTATCCTCATTCCACATGACAATGATACCTCTAATGGACCCCACCGCATCAAGCGAGATCCACCCAATTCTTCTAGAGCTCCATATGGACTTTATGATCTTTCTGTCATCTAATTTAGACTCCTGCAAAAGAACTATATCAAGGTCAGCCTTGCAAATGACATCTTTTATCAGCACTCTTTTAGAGGGGCACCGATCCCTCTTGCATTCCAAATTTCCAAGAGATGATCTTCATAAAGCAACCTCTTGGCCATCAGCTAAAGTACTGTCTCCTAACTCTTCTTCTTTCTCCCATGATCTAAATAGACTACATAATTCCCTGGATTCTTTTTTCTTGGCGGCGCTACCAACTTTGGATGTCATAGCCCTTATACAGAGATTATGCTTTTGGAGATAAAGAACCATTTTTCGGGTGAACGGAAACTGGCTTTCTGTCTCCTCTTCATCATCCGACGAAAGATCCGCGATTTTGTTCTGCTCCTCCTGTTGTTCTTGCTCTCTAACTACCCAAGCCCCGTTCTTCAACGATCTCTTGATCGTTTTCTGCTTCTTGAAATATATTGTAAAAATCTATGGGGGGATCCAAGTCGGGTGACATCTCCCTCGACTTTTCTTGCAAATCACCACACTCTATGCTTTGATATTCGCTATCCAAACTAGAAAAGGAAAGATCAGACATCAGTTCAAAGTCCTTTTCCTTATCTTTGCTACTCGGAAGAGGGGCTTTGGAAGGGGCTTCTTTTTTCATTGAGCAGACCTTTCCTTTTTTTTTTTTTTTTAAAGAACCTCAACTGATTGTTTTTTGAAAAGGAGACCAATTTCCCTTTTTTGTCTTGGCCTACAGTAGTAGCACACTCTAAGGTCAGAATCGACCTATCCTTCTCTGTTCTCTCCCTAGACTCTGAACCTTGGGCAACTAAATGAGTTATGGGGTCCACTGGGGCCATTGACCTGTCTGTTTCAACTGTCTCCCTAAAAATAAGGCCTCGGGCAGCCAAAAGGGGAGTAGGGTCCATTGGGAGATCGCTTTTTCCTTCCTTACACGGCATAATCTAATTATATGTCTTTGTCAAAAAACATCTCATAGACCCAATATCATTAGCGGGGGGAGGGGCATGGTAACTGATATTTGACCGAAGGATAAAAAAACCATCCCATACATGCCAAATTTCCACTGGGTTTGTGTTTGAACCATCCTTTCCTCTATAGAACAAATCTGCCGCCTCCAACGGGAAGCTGCCGTGGACCGACACTTTCTTTCCAATGAGCGGAGAGCTTTCCCAATAAGTACTTACGTGGACAATATACATGTGATCCATGTCTACCAGCTTCACCTCGGCTGGAATGAAGCCACAATAATTTCCCGTCACTTTAATAGCAACTTCTGTACATTCAATGAGGGCAGAGTTCACATCCACGTAATCTAAGAAGCCTCCATAGCAATTGCCCACAGCTTGAAAAGTAGCCAAAATCCATAAATGCAGAGGATTGTTCCTAAAAGTAATTCATCCACCATAAGAGGGGACAACTGTGGTGTGGCCATGGAGAATCGGGTTCCAAAGCTCCATCATTAAAGTCAAAGGGCCAAAAGTTACCCACCCTTTATTGCTAACAGGAGCCTTGCTTTCTCTTTAGAGGAGCACTTGAGCAAAGCTTTATCTGGCTGAAACACATTGATGATGTAGGAGTCTTCTGTCTGTCGTTTAATCATCTCAAGAACTCTGCCCCAGTCATCGTGAAAGTCCCTGCGAGTCCCAACTACCGTTTTCTTCCAATCTAAGGCCCTCACTTCTTGTGATTTCAACGAGTCCAGGCCTCTTGAGACACCTGTTTGCCTAGAAGACCCCTTGACGATTTCTGCAAAAGACCACCTACCTCTGTGTTTTTGTGCAACAGGGGGTTCCTGATATTACCCATTCATAAAGTCTAATAACAGGCTTTTGAAATCCTCCCAACCTTTCATCCTTTCTCCTGAGGGAACAACTAAATTTTGTTTACTTCCCACTCCTTGGACTTTGGTGATCTCCAAAAAACTACCCCTTTTGTTCGTTGTCTTCTGCATGCAAAAAAAACCATCATTGCAATATGTTTTTCTAAAGAACTTTTGGGTATTAGGCGCCAATAGCAACTCCTCTATGCCATCAACAATCCAAACTGCCACTATCTCTTCCACAGACAAGACGAAGGTCCTTTTTAAGGTGAGATTCAACAATTTTCAAAAACCGGCCTTTCTTTTCAGGATCAAAGGTACAAGTGAACGCCTCGTTTTCAATCTTAGTAGTGGTCCTCGCATCCGTCATGAAGCGACTGAAGAAGAAACCTAGAAGAGGGGAACTTCATCGGAGACAAGCACACTGGGGAAAATTTGAGGAGGACAGAAGAGAGAAGGAGAGAAAACTCGTACATCATCCGGAGAAATTTTTCAACTGCTCCTTTATTAAATTAAATTTATCATTCTTAGCATTTGTACCATAAGCACAAGTCAAATAAATGAGAAAAAAATTCATAGGAAATATAGAATAACTCATGGATAAAATACGTATGGGGAGAATGATGAATAATTGACTACCACTCAATTGCATGGGCAGGATGAACTCATGAACATGATAACATATTAGCCCAAGAACCGAGTTTAATAGTTTTACCTGAACTCTATTTCCTTCAAATTCAGAAAACGTAATCACCTTTTGCAATTGGTCATGGAACACTCTACAATGGAAATTAGCTAATCACATACACATTCAAGCAAAAATGAATTACTTTCACAAAGGAGCAAGATATGTACAATCAGCAAGAATGAATAATAAGATGCATAAGAATCCATTGGACAATGCTGCCAGTGTAAGATGCTTGTTACTGTATGCCAGAGTATTAAGTTTTTCATGTGACATTTAAAATAAGTTGGCAAAAATTCCCTGGATCACTTCAAAAGTAAGGCTATTTATTCGGATATTTGGCCAACATTTCATGTATAAGAAGAAAGTGTATAAGTAAATCACCTTAAGAGCTGAACATCCTCTTCGTTCAAAAAATTAGGAATTAAAGATTCTGCCTGGCTCAACAGTGAACCTACACACACATAAAAGGCACTCATAAGCATGAATCAACAGTTGCGAATTGAATTGCTTTTGAATAGATATGTAAGTACAACAAAAATACTAGAGTAGTGCTTACGCAGATTCCTGCAAACATTGGCAGTTTTGTGACCATCAGAGGTAACCGAAAATCCAGGTAATTGTTTGACAATATCCATTTTTAAACAGTCAACAAATCCATGAAGGAAAAGATTTCTTTCCTGTTCTGTGGAAGAAATAAAAATATAAGAAATATAATTAAATACAAGTCATTCCAAATAATACACCGTCAGGAATGAACAAATGATAAAGGATTAACCTTCACAGATGGTTGGAACGAAGCAGTGGAGGTTTGCAATTACTTTGACAAATAACGATGTTCTCTGATGTGCATAGGAAGCTGGGGCCATAATACTCGGAATTAATGTGAAGTCCAAACTTTTTGGACGTAGAGGGCCCAATGAAGAAAAATTCTCCAAAACCCAGCCAGCTGCTGCAAAAGAATCATATTCGAGAGTTGCATCCTCTTCCTTAACAGGGAGATCAGAAGAACACCAACTGGATAGAAAATCTCCATGAGAGAGTGAAAATACTGCCGTCAAAACTTTAGTCTGGAGAAACATGCCAAAGTGACAATTACCTACTGTTCGAAGGATATGCTTCCAGGCATACAAACGTACACTACATTCACTAATTCATAGGTAGAAAAGCTCTAAAACGATTACGTCTAAGAGGAAAAACAGATGACAATATGATTCTTGCAGATCATTCATTATTTCAATTTTCAAGTATGAATTTGAAAAAGTAAGCTTAATGATCATCCCAACAGGGTTATGGAATTGAAGATGGAACATCCAGTTTATAAACAAGGGCTTACAAAGTTAACTGTGATGTAAGATCGAAAATTGGAATCATCGGAGAAGATATCAGCCAGGCGCATTGCATTGAGTTGCAAAAATCCTGTTGGGTACCTTTTTTCTGAACAAGAAACTAAACTTTTGGAATCCCTACCAAGTGCATTCTTCAATAGCTCAAGAACCTGCACGGTGAGAACTATATTACATGGAAGATTGATCATTGAAAGACATTCCTTGAAGGTACAAACTGCTACTATAACAATCATCTACAGAGTAATGCACCCTTTAGAAAAGAAGTTCAGAAAAATCAGATGTAAATTGAGTTTTTCTATATACTGACAACAAACAGAAGTTCAAAGGACATGATAACAGAAAGTCATTTGGTTGCAACTATTTTTATACAGTCTGGTTAGTTTTGCAGAGGGGGGAATTGGTCACAATCAAAGTATGAATCTCAAAGTAGTAATGACATCTTTCCATCAGTATATAATCACCACCTCAAAGAATCCAAAGGAAATCAACCTGTAACGCAACAGACTTTGCAAAATCCAAGCTTCTCGGTGTGCTGGCTACTTCATCAAGGTACGAAATGCTTTCTGCTTCGCAAAGACTAAGAAGCTGCAAAAATAAACAGAACAGGATTACTCCATACTTATCCAAAGACCCATCATTAAAACTGAAAAGGAAGTTCTAATTGATACTTAAATAACTATGTTTTTTAGAAGTTAAGGTGTAGATGTTTTATTTACTGAACTCACAATAGATAGAACTTTCGCTTTCAGTCTAGATACAGCAGCACCAACTCTGGAAGACTGAAGATGAGGGTGTAAAACGTTCAAATTCAAGATGGCTCTAGCAAGGAACAGAACACCACCTTTACAACAAAGTTCCTGAAATAAAAAGAACCCACACTTAATTCAACAGTAAGAAAGAGGTAACTAGATGAACTATACTGCATGAACATGACAGTACCAATCCCAAAAAATGGCACATTATTCGTGACTAAACCATATTTAAAAAGCAGGAGTCCTTCACAACAATTCTTCCATCTATGAAGTAGTTTGAACACTGCTACCTACGATTAACTACTAGAAGAGCACTGCAACACATTAAACTTTAAATATTTAATATCTACACTAACATTATACTAAATGTTCATCCAAGTATAAAAATTCCTTTACCACATATCATTAAAATTGATCTTTTAAATTAAGTAAATATTATTAGCATATTGTCATTAGTGTTTTTGGAATTCAAAAATTTTACTATAAATTATAAACTATTATGAACTTATAGTAATTATTAAAAACATATTGCTGATGTTTATTCCTTGCAAGTCAAAATTTTTTATTGATGCATACAAAAATGTAAGGAGACAAACGTCTGTGAAGTATAGCATGGATCACCCATGTGACTCATTAAATTTTTTCTCATTATATCAAGTATTTATCATCTACTCTTGAATATGGAAGTTATACATTCAAAAATAATAATATTATCTTGAGGAAACTAATATGTTCAGGCCAAGTTTGGTTCAACCTAAATTAATTTTAGGTGAACCCATAAACCAACCCAACTCATAAAGTTTTACTTTTACATTTTTTTGAACTCAACCGAAATCTAAACAAGCTTACAATTCAAGCTAACCTTATTAATTTTGGTCAGGTTAATTAGAAAAAATAATAATAAAAGAAAACATTTTTAAATATACTTTTAATAGTTTATCTTGATTATAACAAGGCAAATAAAAATTAACATATTATTATTCATGACATGAATTTATTTTTATATTTAATTAGCCATGCATGTGATAAAAAATGACACAAAAAACTGATACAATTTCGTTTATGGTTAATAGTTTATAAGTATACATCAAACTTTTTCATAGTTTTGGGTTATATTTTCAATGTGAAATAGTTGCATTGAAATATAAGTATAAAAATAGTATTTATGGGAATAGGCATATACTCAAATTCTTAAGCTTAAGCATGTACGGGGCAATGCAATTTTTAGAACTAATATATATAAATATAATTGCAGAACCTTATTCCTCAACAGACGCTCACGGAAAACTTTTTGTTGGCATAGCATCAGGAGAAACTGTAAAGATGCTTCACACTGAAGGCATAGATAGTTAGTTAATTCTGCAATTGGAGCTGTGCAGGAGGAATCAGAATTCTGAGCTGACAGCCTTTGGCCCAGAAGCTTAACCGTCTGGGAAACTGAAGCAAAAGCTGCCTCCATAAAAATGTCTACCTGTTAATAAGCTTCAAGGTCAGCCCAAGGAATAAATGGTCAGCCTCACTTTTGAATATTTAATTTAAGAAGGGTGATATGGTAATTTGATTTATCTTTCTTTTGTTTTTTTAGAGGAAACAAAATACTTCATTGATGGTATGTATAATATTACAACATAGGGGAGGAGAGCCAAGCCCCAAGTTGGAGGGTAACGAAAAAGCCTTCCAATTACGAAAAGCAGTTTGTCCTTATTCTAGAGAGTTATTCTCAGGGATGGCAGGCTGTATTCTCTCCGTTCTCTCTCCTCTCCTCCCACCCCCCTTGAGACATGATCACCCTTTCCTCTAGTCGTCTCCAGTATTGCAACTGCCATGGCATCACGGCGGCTGACTGCCAAGATAGAAAACAAGTCCTTCAAAGTTTCTTTTGATTCAAGATCTAAAGGAAGAGTGATCTTAGTAAAAGAATTTCATTGCGACGGAAGTTCTTGGTGTCCTTCGAAGTAGTGGCGGTCTGGCTTGTTTACTCCATAATGGACCTGCTTCTTTCCCCACAGGCT